GGAGGTTTGTCACATTATACACCACTAACTGCTCATCAGGCAACACAGCCATTGACAACCTACATTTGAATGGATCAGTTAGGTCAGGGGTGGGCAACCTGCGGCTCTCCAGCTGTTGCAGGATTACAAGTTTCATCATGCCTCTGCAAGCCATAGCTGTAACTATGGCTTACCAGTTCTGCAATGCCTCATGGGAAATGTAGCTCCACAACGTTAGAGAGCCGCAGGCTGCCCACCCCTGAGTTAGGTGACCAGGTAGATAAGCCCCCTATCAAATAAGAAAGAACATTTCTCTGCTTGCAATAGTAGGGGAAGAGAACCAAGATGTTTAGAATGTATTTCCTTTTTGTTATGCCTCCATATCACCAGTTCAGAATATCAGAAGTCAGCTTTAGCCAACATTACCTTCTGGGCACCTAAATAGTAAAGCAGCCCTTGAGTTACAAAGAAGCACCTAGACGTTCCCTTATGTTAATACAAACAAGTTTCAAGGAGTGGAAGCTGCATTTATTTTTCAACATAGTCCCCTGCTACATTATACACATATCCCAGCATTTAACTAAAGCCAGAAAAGCTTCGACATAGAATTGTCAGTACGCCTGAACCATCCAAAGACAGCCTGCTTCACTTCGTCATCAGTGCTGAAATGCTGAACTCTGAGGAACTCTTTTAGGGGTCCAAACTGGTGGAAATCAATCAGAGTGAAGTCCGATCTGTAAGGGGGATGTAGCAATACCTCCCAGCCGAGTTGCTGTAATGTGCATGTAGTGGGATGAGCAGCATGTGCTTGTGCATTGTCCTGGAGAAACAGGACACCTTCAGTGATCAAACCAGGCTGTTTTTTCTTCAGACGTACATGCACATCACTCAGAACATAATTCATAATATTAATTGTTGATAGTGGCTTCCAATGCTTTGATGCTCGTTTTGATTCTGGAGTGAAATAATGTGCTTAGGCCTTCCCTGTCAAAATGCTCCTTCAATGCAGTGTAGACTCTGTGCCAGCCAAAAGTGAAAAGCTGTCTTGGTACCCAGCATGCGCTAACTTTTCAAAAATGCTAATGTTTGTGAATGATTGTGTTCACCTTTTCTACAGAAAAATGCATCTCTTGTGCAATTTCACAACAGGTTATGAATTGATTATCCAGATCAGGCGTTTCATGCACTGAATGATCACAAGAATGACTGCTGTGGGCTGAGAGCCACCATGGCCGGGATCATCACTGACAGATGTACGGCCATCTTTGAAACATTTTCACTATTCAAATATCTTATTGTGGCTGAGAGTCTCATCACTGTACGGTGCTTTGAAGTCTTCTGTAGACATCCACGGGTTTTACACCTTTGTTAACAAGAACATTCATCACCACATGCTGTTCCATGCATGCACTAACACCGTTGTCTGCTATCTTAATTAACAGTCGCTGGAGTGGCCCCTGACATGTTCAGTGCCTATCAGTAATAGGACACACTTATCACTTACCGCCACATTGGCATCCTTTTTATGCCTGTAAAATTAAAAGTCCCTGTTTGACTTGAAGGCCCCACGTATAAACCGTACTGATAGAGTTGTGGACAGTAACCTTTCCTCCCTTCCACCTTCTACACCTCACTATTTGTCATTGAGTCTATCATAGGGCCAAGATAATAGTGAGGCACAGAAAGCCGGAAGTGGCTGCTATAAAAGTTAATTGCCACTTTTAGTACTCACAGGGTTGCATTAGGTGTATTTCTGTGTTTGAACACATCCCACATCTTGTGTTGAAGAGCAGAATCATTAAATCATCATAGTTTTATGATAATGTCTGACACGCAGTAGGTTGATTAACTTAACTCTGGGGTTTCTCCAACTGGCAATATGGAGCAGCTTCAATGATTGGCATGGACAATGAACCTTGTGGAAATGAAGAGTACCAAGGTGTACATCTGGTGCAGTGTGTTAATGCAGAGTTTGACCTAATGTTGTACTTGGACGTTTTTACTGGATGTCATCCAAGATAGCAGCAGGGCTGGAGGCTGCCCAGTACTAATGAAGTCTAGTGCACTTCATAGCCTCTCAACTTATCTACAGTACTTATGTATGCTACTGCACAGCTAATGTCTGAGATATGGAATATTTCCCAATGACATGCATTTCAGTTATTGTAAGATTGCTAGACTAGCTAGTTTTAAACCTATTATTGTGCATATCTTGAAATGTATATATGTTATAAATATCTCAATCTGTTGGACCTTTCAAATGTTCTCTCTTAGGCTATAGTTTGAGAAAGTATGGTTTACTGAGTAAATTTGTACATTAAGCTCAATGTAACCTTTATACCCAACCCAAGCTATAAATATAAACCATAAACTGCCCCATGTAAACACTTATAGGTTAACTCTTAAAGTGTTACTAAACCCACAACAGTAAAAATAAGTCTGAATATGCAGTAAAGCATGCTTGTTATACCACTGTGGAACTTAAGGGGTTATCCTCTGCACTGTGTAAAAAGGATGTTTAATCCTGTCTTCTCTGATTCTCCCCTTCTTCCACTTTCCCCAACTCATCTCCTGATAGAATAGAGCCTTGGGGGCAAGCTGCACATGCTCAGTTTGATGTGTATTGCTAGGGAGTTTTTTTGTTTTCTAGGGAGAGTGCATGTGATTAGCACATAGCCAATCAGCACTGTCCAGACAGAGGGTCAGAGGTCCTGCAGTCTCATAGGACAGTCAGAGGAAAATGAAAACTCCTCCTACAAGCTTTAACCAGTGCTCGGCTGGAAACTGATAGAAGTCACAAGACTGCTCTAACTGCTGATGAGAAAATATATTTAGCAGTTTATATTTACCAAAATGATTGCATTTCCATGTTGTGTGTACTGTGAGAGATCAGATATAGTGAATGCAGGGTCCTAGGTTTAGTAACACTTGAACCTGAATGTACACCCTACTACCAACCATAAATTTATGCTTTCTTTTTTTTTGTATTTTTATTGCCAGTTGTGGGCATCTCTCCAGTAACAGTACGATATGGGGAAACAGTTATAAGAGCTACTGATAGGAGGTCTAAGTCACGATAACAAGTCATCTCTGCCATTTGGTGGACTCTACAGTCCCATGTTAAAACTGCAAAGTAAACTACAGTACATGTTATCCCAACAGTGAATTCTGTTCTGTTTTCACAAAAATAATCATGTGACATAATTCAGATCTGCATATAGCAATAATATCTCTAGTTCTGGAGAGAACTCACATGGTGCCTCTGCTGTTGTTGCCCACAGTCAGCCCAGTTGGGGGGTAGTGTGCTGAAAGCATATATCCTAATGCAACTGGACAAGTCAATGGCAACTGCCAGGTGATTGCACCTTACAATATAGGAAAGAGAAGAAAGTTAACGTGTACTAGTGTGATTGTTCATCTGATCTCATGGCTGCTAAGCCCTATCCAGCTTTGCTCTTATTCCCTGTTTGCCAAAGCAACATTTTCACTCCAGGTGGTGAATGGCATGGCTTGACAAGCCAACAGAAGTGATCACTGTGGGTTTTCATGTTTATAGCTCTGTTATCTTCACAATCATCACATGAACATCTATGGTCATAGCATACACTTTCATTATATAACATCAGCATTGTAATACAATGCAAGCAATACTTATTTTGACAACCCAATATGAGCTTACTTGAAAAATCTCCTTTAATGTTGTGAGTGCTGCATGCTGGCCATCTCTTTCCACAACTTGCTGGATTCTCTCTGCATGCTTTGCAGATTCTTTTTTGCTTTCCACTTTCAGTTTCTAAGGACTAGATATCCCATGGTACCTTGTTGCCTGCAAGTAGTGATTCATGTACTGACTCCACCTCCTGAAACTAAATGCATGTCTTTTCTTTACCTTTTGGTCCACCTACCAGCTTATTTCACATAGTAAACAAGCTTAGTAGAAAATGCTTATTTCAAATAGTAAACAAACCAACTAACACAAAAATAAGACACCCCTCCCTCCCCGGCGGAGAGAGGCTGACACTGACCAACACCAGACCCCCTCTCCCCCCCCTCACCCGTGGAGCAAGTCTGACAGTGACCAACAACACCTCTGCCCCATCCCCCCCCCCCACCACCCAAGAGAGTCTTATACTAGCACGCCCCCCCCCCCCTCCCGGCAACAGAGAGAGACACTCACCTTCACAGCTCTGGACCTCCTCGGGAATGACAGTCAAGCTCTGCATAAACTGTCAAGCAGCCCACAGCCTGTCTCAGATCCCACCTGGTCCCCATGCTGCATATGTTCCTTCTACCGGGGGGCAGTGCCCCCTAAAAAATACCGCCCTAGGCAAATGCCTTGTTTGCCTTGTGGCAATTATGCCCCTGGATGTTGGGAGTGAATCATACTGCCTCTTGAGCCAATGGGCTCTCAATCTGCAGAAGAAATGCGTAGCACAAGCTTTGCCGAGACTGTTGCAGCTTGTAAACCTTATACGCAGCATCACATTTGTCATTGTCTGCTATAACTAATTAACAGACTTCTAACCTGTAGTCGGGTTAATGTGTCAGTGTCCAGTTCACCCCAGGACACTGCTGGAGTATTCTGTTTGTCAGTAGGAGATGTAAGACAATACAGGAAGCAATATATGGCCTTTGTAACTCTGGCACCCCATTCGGGTGCAAAGTGTCTCTGAACTAAGATATAAAATTGAAAAATAGATAGATAAAAAGATGGATGAGACAGAAAGAGAGGAGAGATATATGACAGATAGACAGACTGACAAACAGGTAGAGCACTTTGTGCTGACCCCTGCAGTGTCCATTATTTACTCCTGACCTTTGCTCTTTGTACGTTACTTTCTCCTGACACCAGTACTGTTTGTGTTACACACTCCTGATCCATGCACACCATGTGTTATGCACTCCTGACGCCTGCCCTCTGTACGATTTGCTGTTTTGACCAGAGCAGAGTAGGCTCGGGTTTTATTTAACCATATGCTTTTAAACTGATTTCACTGTTAGTACAATTTGTCCTCACCCACCCAGGGGCGGACTGACAACTCATGGGGCCCCTGGGCAATAGGGGATCATGGGGCCCCTGTGTCCTTGCCCAAACTAAAAAAAGCCTATGAAAAAGGTACCAGGGGCATCTCATGGGGCCCCCTACTGACCCTGGGCCCTCGGGCAGTGCCCGAGTTTCCAAATGGTCAGTCCACCCCTGCACCCACCATTCGGTGAGGTGTGCTACATGTGCTGTTATTAGCCCTGCCTCTGCTCCAGCCCCTAATCATCCATACAATGCCAGCCTACACCAGTGCTATCTCCATCTCATATTTGCCAGACATAGGTGACAAACGTAGCTTCTATTGTAAAGGCACGTTGATGTAGGTTGTATTGGTAGATGATTGAGATTCATATATGAAGAGTTCACTTCACATGGCTAAATATATCGTACTGTTGGTACACATGGGCCCAAGAAAGAATAAGAATGCTCATAAGGCAGTACAAAAAGAGTCAGAGTAGAGCATAGGAAAGTACATACTGTAGAGACACCAGACCAGTGGCATATGAGATAAAGTCTGTTAGCACTAAAAGTGCAGCTGGTGAAGTAAGCTGGGGTATTGAGGTATTTCAGGAAAATACAGCTTGATGGCCATTAGGTGGAGCTGATGTTCATAGAAAGAAAACATAATATGGGGCTTATTCAAAATGGCTGTGTTATGATGTTAAAACCACAAAGTGTTTTTACTGCATAGAAATTATCTGGAGTATATGTCACAGGTTACAAATGGCTTCATTACTAGAGGCAATTAGACATGACCATGATGATGGTACATGACTGGCTAAGGTTTTCAAAAAGGAAAATTCTCCTTCACTCACCAGTTAGTGTGGCCTTTGTAGTCTGACCTGGTTGACGTGGTATTCTGAGTTCATGGTACTGATCCCCTGCCAGAGTACTGAAGACAACGCGGTACCCATCACCCTCAGCTTCACTGTTATCCCACTCCAGATCCAGGGTTGTTGAGGCTCTCCCCATCACACGCAGATTTTTAGGGGCATCAAGTTCTGTGTAAATGAAGAATAAAACTGTCTGTAAAATATTTCACAGAGTGCAATGAATATTTTGAACCACAGGTTTCTAATATATTATACATTCAGCCCAGAAGAGATCATATACATATCTGTAGAGAACTTAGCTTTAACCTTCACCACCCTTTATCATTTTATTTGATACCTGGCTGCAATCAGTGAGAGCTTGAAAATACCCTCTTATGACATTGGTAATGTTTATTTCTTTATTCTTTTGCAAAAAAAATAATATGCACTGCCGCTTATTAGCTCCCTTATGGGTTGCCTGAATTCTCATTGTTGCAACATTAGGTATGCTCCTCAACAAGTCTTGTATACGAAATAAGGTGCAGTACACATCTGGGATTCGTAAATGCAATTTTCTTCTCTAAAGAAGTACCTCATTCAATGTAAGAATAGAAGGTTGCCAAAAGATTCATTCCAATAAGAATAAATATAATGTCACCAAATCTGTATAGTATAACTTATTGTATTATGTATCATTTATTCGTTTCTTTATTTTGACTGTGAGTTTAAGCAGGTAAGTGCAGAATAGCTCTCCAGGAAGACGTTTCCTCTGGTGCTAAGATCTTTGTGCATTATGCTTTTGCAAAGGACCTGCATGCTATTGGACCTGGTGAGGTGAGTAGAAAGCAGAATAAGGTTTATAGTGTTAAGGCTTAGTTTAGGGATTAGATTAAAATAATTGGGCATTCAGAGCTTTAGGAAAAAAGTGTACAGTACCTAAACTCAAAAACAAAAATGTATTGCAAATATACAGTATTTCGGTTTACCAACCCCTACAGTGCCTCAAAAAAGAATTCATGCCCCTTGAAATTTTCCACATTTTGTTATGTTACAACTAAAAACATAAACGTATTTTATTGGGATTTTATGTAATAGACCAACACAAAGTGGCACATAACTGTGAAGTGGAAGGAAAATGATAAATTGTTTTCAAATTTTTTTTACAAATAAATATTTGAAAAGTGTGGCATGCATTTGTATTCAGCCCCCTGAGTTAATACTTTGTAGAACCATCTTTCACTGCAATTAAAGCTTCAAGTCTTTTTGGGGATGTTTCAGGGATGTACCAGCTTTGCACATCTAGAGAGTGAAATTTTTGCCCATTCTTCTTTGCAAAATAGCTCAAGCTCTGCCAGATTGGATGGAGAGTGTCTGTGAACAGCAATTTTCAAGTCTTTCCACAGATTCTCAATTGGATTTAGGTCTGGACTTTAACTGGGCCATTCTAACACATGAATATGCTTTGATTTAAACCATTCCATTGTAGCTCTGGCTGTATATTAAGGGTTGTTGTCCTGCTGGAAGGTGAACCTCTGCCCCATTCTCAAGTCTTTTGCACACTCTAACAGGGTTTCTTCTAAGATTGCCCTGTATTTGGCTCCATCCATCTTCCCATCAACTCTAACCAGCTTCCCTGTCCCTGCTGAAGAAAAGCATCCCCACAACATGATGCTGCTGCCACCACCATGTTTCACGGTGGGGATGGTATGTTAAGGGAGCTGTGCAGTGTTAGTTTTCCGCCACACATAGCATTTTTCTTTTAGGCAAAAAGTTAAATTTTGATCTCATCTGACCAGAGCACCTTCTTCTGCATGTTTGCTGTGTCCCCCCACATGACTTCTCGCAAACTGCACATGGGACTTCTTATGGCTTTCTTTGAACAATGGCTTTCTTCTCGCCACTCTTCCATAAAGGCCAGATTTGTGGAGTGCACGACTAATAGTTGTCCTGTGGACAGATTCTCCCAACTCAGCTGTGGATCTCTGTAGCTCTTCCAGAGTTACTATGGGCCTCTTGGCTGCTTCTCTGATTAATGCTCTCCTTGCCCAGCCTGTAAATTTAGGTGGACAGCCATGTCTTGGTAGTTTTGCAGTTGTGCCATACTCTTTCCATTTTCAGAGGATGAATTGAACAATACTCCGTGAGACGTTCAAAGCTTGGAATATTATTTTATAACCTAACCCTGCTTTAAACGTCTTCACGGCTTTATCCCTGACCTGTCTGGTGTGTTCCTTGGCCTTCCTGATGCTGTTTGTTCTCTAATGTTCTCTAACAAACCTCTGAGGGCGTCACAGAACAGCTGTATTTATAATAAGATAAAATTACACACAGGTGGACTCTATTTACTAATAATATGACTTCTGAAGGCAATTGGTTCCACTAGATTTTAGTTAGGGGTATCAAAGTAAAAGGGGGTTAAATAAAAAAGCACGCCACACTTTTCAGATACTTATTTGTAAACAATTTTGAAAAACACTTTTTTATTTTCCTTCCACTTCAAAATTATGTGGCACTTTGTGTTGGTCTATCACATAAACTCCAAATAAAATACATTTACGTTTCTGATTGTAACATGACAAAATTTGGAAAATTTCAAGGGGTATGAATACTTTTTCAAGGCACTGTAAATGTGGCAGCTGCATTCATTTTATTTTTTCTTGCTTTTTCCCTTTATTTTCACGTGGTATTGCTGCAGGTAAAATAGTCCCTGTCCCTTTTTGTCTACCCTTGTTTCTCCATTATAATATGAAGGGAGCCATGGCTGTGACACAGGCTGTGGACACCTGAAACTGGAAGTATTGAAGATTCTGACAGTCTCTTGAATACTTGTATGGAGTAAATAAAGGAGTTGCAGATTCTTCACACAGCTGCCCATCCTCCTCATAAACAAAGAGAAACATGTAGTATTTTTCCTTGCTTGAGGGTCCAGAATACATCTAAAAAAAAAATCTGCAATTTTTAAATATTTTTTTTTAAAGTGGAACTTTACTCTCTCAATCAACATTGACTATTTTAATCCTTATGCTGCTAGCGCTTTTAAATAGATAGGAAGAGATATTATATGTACTTTTATTAAACTTTTTTTTACATTTCTTTAGTTATTATCTGGTTTCCATGCCTAAGCAAATGGTATCATACATCCCAGGAGTCTTCAGAAGGGGCTTTCCCCCTTCTCAGGCATACTCCTGCCTGCATGCCTGAATTAAGGGCAGATGGATTTCAGATTCCAGGAAGCAAATTAATCTGCCCTTACTTAAGATGGCCTCGGCCGCAAACGCTTGAAGGGTGTTTTTCAAAGTGATTTCTCAGCAAAATAAAGCATAGAGACATAAATGGATGGGGGAGTTTGATTTGAATATTCAAAATTAACTAAACAGAGTTTTTGTTTTATGCTGCACAGATACAGTGTAGTTCCCCTTTAAGTTAAGCTGAGTGGCTGGGGACACATAACCAATATTGTATAAAGTAGGAGGCATCCCAATTTGGCTGCGAATTTGGAAATACACTTTATTATTTTAGAAATTAAAGCCTAACTCCACTTTTAGTTACCCTTTAAATAGATTGTTTGAGTCAAGATGGCCCAAATTGTACTAACTGCTGCAATTGTTGGGCATGCTGTATAAACTGTATGTAGCCACAGCATTTGGATGCAATATTTGTGGTTCTTGGCAAATAAATCAGCCAAGAGAATTGTTCCTTAACCAAATCCCCTCAACATTTTTTTGGCCCTTTGAGATATTTGATTGGAGGTCATACAAATTGAGATACAGATCTTATACAGTTTTAGAGGGACATAAGCTTCGGAACTAGTGGAGGCAGCATGGTCATGCTTTCATTTGGGGTGTCCAGGTGTCCAATGCGGTATTCTGCTGAAGGGCAGCTAGGGCTGGGCCATAGGGAACCCTTTCTCTCCTTGAGAAGCATAACAACACAAGCCTCACACCGATTATATCACCTGTTCATAAAAGCTTTATTAATCCACAAGCAGCATACAGCATTTTATATGCTCATGGACCACCCCTTCTTATTTGATGAAAGGCACTATCCCTACCTACACACCTGTTCAGGGAACCTCTTATGCTGGAACCAGTGCTATATACTATATGGAATTTCTGCCCTAAAAATGTCTGCTGCAATATCGCAGAATAAGGCACAGGCTTTCCCAAGATTGCGCTGGACATACCAATCCTCTCCAGAGTTTACTTTAGTGTTGGTAATAGCAGTCAGCCAACTCAGCAAAGAGGGGGAGTGACTTGGCATGTACATGACACCTTTATTATTTCCCATACCACAAATCTGACAGAGAACCAAAAGATCAACAGATGGTGGACCAATAGAGACTACCTGCA